AGGCGGCTGCATGTTCACCTGCAGCTCCTTCAAGCTGTGCCTGTCTCTCACCAGGTGGCAGGAGCTGCAGAAAAAGCCCCCATGGCTTCCCTGCCTGGCCCCATCCCCTGCCTGGCCCCAGGCTCCTGGCACTTAAAAAAAATAACAATAAAAACAAAAAACCCCAACAACCCTGAACTTACCAGCTGCAGAAGGGGCTCCGGGGCCTCCTTGCAGAGCCCCCCTCGTGTAGCCCCTGCTCCCCAATTGTTCCCCACCCCCGCCTGGCCCCAGCAGTGCAGGAATAAAACCAAAACAAACAAACAAAAAAAACGCACTCACCAGCAGTAGCAGCGGCTGTGGGGACTCTGGGAACATGTGGCAGAGCCCCCGCTCTCTGATCTCCCACTGTCACCCAGCCCTGAGCCCCATGGCTGTCTTGACTGGCCCCAGCATCCTGGCAAGTAAAAAAAAAAAGCCTCGCACTCACCAGCTGCAGCAGTAGGGATAAGGGCCTCTGGGGGCTTGTGGCAGAGCCCCCCTGTGTAGTGCGGGGTGGCAGAGATCGCCCCGCCCCGCCTGGCACCCACACGGCAACTGCCCCATGGCGCGGGTGCAGCATAGCTCGGCAGGGTGCCACGTGCTTTCTGGGAGCTGGGGCCACTGGGGCTAAGTGGTGCTGGGCTCTGGGTGACAGGTGGAGCCACCCCAGCTCCCAGACAGTGCACGGCACCCTGCCAAGCTGCACTGCACCTGCACCACAGGGCAGCTGCCGTGCAGGTGCCAGGTCGGGGTGGGGGCAATCCCTGCTGCCCCCCAACTGCCCACACTGCACGGGGAGGGGGCTCTGCCATGAGCCCTCAGAGGCCCTGATCCCCACTGCTGCATCCAGTGAGTGCAGGACTTTTAATTTCTTTCTCAGTGCTCAGATTCTGGGGCTGGGTGGGGCAGCCATAGGGGGTGAGGCAGGGGGTAAATTGGTGAGCAGGGGCTGTGCGGTGTGGGGCAAGGCAGGGGATGGGGCTGGGCAGGGCAGCCATGGGGACTTCTCCCACAATCCCCCCGCCTGGGGAGAGGCAGGCACAGCCAAAGGAGGTGCAGGAGAACCTGCAGCCGCCCGGCTGTGTCTGCCTCTCCCCAGCCGATCCGAATCTCCAAGTCTTTTCCAAATATATTAGGAGTCTTTCGATTTGATTCAGACCTTTTAATGGGTCTCCCAATTTGATTCGGATTCAGAGACTCGACCGGTAAATCAGGCCAAATCTCCTCTGAATGAAATCGAGAACTGAAGCTTTGCACAGCCCTAGTGGGGAGCCCTACATGCCAGATTACATGGTACTGCATGATAGATCACAGAGCTTGCCAGTGAGAGGCTGGATCCAGGTGCACATGGCTCATTCTGGTAGGAATGTGGCCTGATTCAGGCATGGGATCTGGCCCATGGACCAATCCCACACCACTCGTCCAGTCTGCAGAGCCAAAAGGTTGAGCCCTACTGCCTAAAGACATATCACTGATTACCTATAACTCCTCCTGGGGAACAAACTGGTCTTGGTTACAGACAGCCCCCTCATCTCAAACAGCATCGTTCAAGTTACAGGCTGCATAACCCTCAGTCTCACTAAGAGAGCGTTTCCTTTTTCGCCCCACAGCACACTTACCTAAATAAAAAAGCACTGTGGCACACTGGATGTGGAGTAGGGTGGGGGTTTGTAGCATGTGGCCAGCCGGACAGCATTTTGGGCTGGATCCATACCCCATGCCTGGCTGGAGTCACACTCCCCATCTATCTGTGTCCACAGCATCAGCAGGTGGGGGCTGTGGCTCCAGCCAGGCACGGGGTATGGCTCCCACCCGAAATGCCACAGCACACCTGAACATGCCTGACAGCACACCAGTGTGCCATGGCACACCAGTTGGGAAACACTGCACTAAGATGCAAGACCTTACAACTGACCCAAATGCCTTTTGGGGCCTAATATCAATACACATCATATTATTGCTGGACCAAATAACTCAGATTATAACATCACAGGTTTATTCACTTGCAACTCCACCAATGTCATATATATATATATATCTCCCCAAGTTGATCATCCCAGATAAAACTTTGTCTACCCAGGTCTTAAAATCCTTCAAAGATGGAGATTCCACAACATCTCTGGGTAGCCTGTTCCAGCCTGCTTTACTACCCTCCTAGTGAGAAAGTTCTTCCTAATCTCTAAACTAAACTTCCCTTGCTACAACTTGAGACCATTGCTCCTTGTTCTGTCATCTGCCACCACTGAAAACAGTCTAGTTCCATTCTCTTTGGAACCTCCCTTTGGATAGTTAAACACTATTAAATCCCACCTTAGTCTTCTCTTCTCCAGACTAAATAAGCCCAGTTTCCTCACCCTCTTCTCAGAAGTCATGTGCCCCCTATCCATTTTAGTTTCTTATCCCATTACCTGTTTTAATTTTGGTGACCCATTTGTTCCTATGGGTTTACTGCTTGTTTGCTTATTTCTGCCAGCACAACCCCTCTCCTTCCCTCCTTGGAAGTAAACTTCAGCCCATGAAAGTCTGTGCTATATATATTTCCCCCTTTCCCTATAAAACTACTTTAGCTAGTCTTGACTTTAGACTAATGGCTAACTATATCTCAAAAATCTCAGAACCACAGCAAAAATCTAGACCGTTCCCCTTGGTGCCTAGTGTGATTTGAACTGTAAAACAAAACCAGATCCAAAAGCAAGCCACTAGGAAGTTAATCCAGAACAACTGAATTTGCACTATTATTCTGATGCATAATTAAGGCCAAAAAAGGAGACAACTGATCATATAATTTGACCCTTATAAATGCAGGTCATAAGACTTCCCTGGTTTATCCTCATTTGAATGAGAGCATCTTTTGTAATTATCTTTATTTAAAATTATAGATGACCAAACTAAAGGAAGTATGCAATATTACTGTCTACTACTTTTATATAGGCAGACTAATTATAGGAGGTTACTATGAAGCATTTTAAATCTCAGTCATTTGGATGTCACTGACATTTTATGAACCTTATGGACTATTTATCAAGTTGACTTTTTAAAACTGAAACCACTAAAACAAATCTGAACTCCTAGACCATAAAGGTTCAGTAAACACTGCAGCAACTGTGCTTATGCCATGGACTTAACATTTTCCTACATTTAATAAATAAAGGGCTAAAACCTGTTAAAGAGGGGTTACTATGAATGTGACGTATAGGTATATGTGGAATCATCACTAACAAAGAGATTCAATGGCAATAAATCCAATACCTAATCTCAGTGCTGCTCATGGAGCCTGCTAATGCAGTGTGGGCATCAAGAATACAGTAGTGTAATAAGGGGGGCAACTATGGCACCAGAGACAGACACCAACCCCAGAGTGGGGAATAGAAGCAGCTGTGACACTGCCCCATCTATGCCCCACTGTACCCAGGCAACTCAGGCATCATGTTACACCTCTGCTTGAGTGTAATCCTTCCATCTTGGACAACTGGAGGGAGCCGTCTCTCTCTACAACCCAAAAGTCTATTCGCACTGCCTTTCTACCAGTCTCTTGTCATTCTGAGTTCTCTAAATCCTGCTTCCAGTATTCATAATCATTTGAGACAGCAACTATCAAATTACAAACCTTGCAACCCATCTGTCTCCACATGTTCCTTTCACTGATACATTATCCCACCTACACATTCAAGCTTTGAGCCAAAAATTTCAAATTATTAATTAGAATACTCCAAGAATATATTTAGGATCATTTGGTATTTTGCTTAACAAAATTCTTAAGTTATTTGCAAAGTCAAAGAGAGCCCTAACTAAATCAAAGAGGGGGAAACAGAATAATTCAGTTATACAAAGTTTATTTTGCCATTTTCTTAAAGCAGGGATTGTAAAGGATTGTAAAGGATTGGTCCTAAGCAAAAACCTTGGGGTATTTGATGGACAAACCATTTGATTTGCAGACAAGGAAATTAGAAGTAGTTTTAAGTAACAACTTCACATTTACCTACTAACTTTTCAGTTTAGGGCTTTTGTTCTTGCTTTTGCTTTCTTTTTTTGTTGTTTTTAACATTTAAAATATTTTGTTTCTTGTCATTACTGCTGTCCATTGCTCTCCCATCCAGAAAATATAGAATTGACATGAAAATGCTGTCTACGAACAAAATATTTTCAATTCCGCCAAGAGGGAAAACATTATATTCCAATATCTAAAGCAGTGATTCTTAACCAGTGTGCTGTGATACCCTAGGATGCCAGTATGTTCTTTTAAGGATGCCATGCAATATTAGCACTGTTAGGTGTACAAACACTTACTTACATGTGTAAGTCAAAAGATAAACCCAGAGATTTCACATAGGAATCCAGTATTAAAAACATTTTGATTTGCTGTGGTCTTGCCAAGTACTTTGCAATAGAACTGCTCTATTATTTTTCCCTAGTCAAAAAAGAAGTGAAAGGTAAGCGCTGACATTTTCCAAGGGGTGCCTTGAGTCTAATGAAGGGTGTCTTGAAACTAAAAAATGTTGAGAATCACTGATTTAAGGACACATTTACATCAAAAAACTATGCTGGAGAACTGAAATGAAACATGGCATGCCTGCTCCATCCCAAAATGGATGCAATATGACTTAGTGCAGTTGCAGACAGACACCAATAAAGCATGCTTAAAACAGAAAGTTTACTGGCATAAGCCAAGTGGAGAGCACAGAGTAGGTGTGCTATATGTCACTGAAGTGTTCCCTGCAGTAATCCTCTGACAGCATGAACATGCCCCAAGTAATAATTTGAGGCTAAGAGTAGTAAATAAAATGTTTTAAACATAAATAGTATTTATGATATTTTTTTTTTTACCATTTATACTCCAGTTTTAAAAGATGTAAATGCATTTACAAAAAAACTTGGTAGATTTCAATATATAGCCTCACAAATAGTTATAGTTTTGTGCAACATATGAAGAATATAATGTAGAAAAGGAATGAGCAAGTATAAACAAATTTATTACTCACCACTTTGAGCTCTGGCACTGATCGACTTAGTGTCCATTCCTGACTATTTACAAAGGCATCTGTAAAACAAAATATTTAGTAAAATTACAATTAGATAAGCAAAGTTGTACTCTTTACTTATGCTATAGTTGCCAACAGAGCCCACAGGCTGCAAATGGAAATCATGCCAGAAGCCTTCTCCAAAGCTCAGGGAAGATTAACACTTGAGATGCCTATCCAGGAGCAGGGACACTACTTCGACATGCTATAAACCCAGGGCATCGGAGCAGACTTGATTAACTGAGTCTGTTGGAGCGTGGCAATTACCACACTCCAGCAGCCTCCCACATCTTGTGCATCAGTGTCCCCATGTTTCAAAATGGTAGCGGGGCCACTTTATCTAAAGCTCATCGAATGAGCTTTAGATAAAGCGCCCCTGCCACCATTTTGAAGCACGGGGATGCTGATACATGAGATGCTCTGTGTGCTTTAATTAGAGCAGGTCCAAGAGCACGTGTATAAATGCCGTAAATTCTAACACTCGCAGCTCAGAAAACGTTTACTATAGTATATAAATTACCAGAAAGACATTGGAAAATTACTGCAATGACTTAGCACAGAAGACATGTCCATAGCTAGTAAAATTATGCGATCGAACAGGTATTACTGCTGTAATTAAAATATGTATAATTCAATCTTTGCATGTTAAGGAAAATCCTCCCCCTTAATTCTCAATCTCAACACAGAGCAAGAACAATCCATTTTCTCTTCTTTCCATGTCAAGTCAAATTGAATGTCAACAACTACCATTAGTAACATTAATTTCCCACTCCACCCAACTACATAAAGATACTGAAGTTTATTTCAAATCTCTCACAGGGAAACCTCTTGGATAAACTAAATTTAAGTGACAGTTGTAGAACGGCTATTTAATAGTCTAAAAGCAGACGTGTAAAAGTTTGAGACCCAAAGTGAAACTTAAAAGGTACTTGAATTTAACAGTGCCTCTGCAAAAATGCAATACAGTCACTCCCTAGATAAGGGCATCCAGGTGTGCACTGGAAGTCTGATGAACTGAACTTTGAGGCTAAGTACAGACCGTCGAAAAACCCACGGCTAAATTGACTCAATCTTGGCAGGTTTCTGTAAACTGCTTAGATTGAACCAATAAGAAAGTGAACTCAAGTTCACTTTTTAAAAGTGAAAGGCAGCCAGACCCCTTCAGTGGCCCATATCAGGTGCCATAGATTCATAGATGTTAGGGTCGGAAGGGACCTCAATAGATCATCGAGTCCGACCCCCTGCAAGAGTGCTGGGTTTAGATGCCCCCAGCTAGATGCCTATCTAACCTCCATGGAGCGCTAGAACTTGCCTCCCAACCTGCTGGCCAGTGCACGGAGCCCAGAGATATGCATTTTCATGAGACACCCTCCTCTTTAGCCTCCAGTCAGCTGAGGAGTGGGTTTGGGGGAAACCCACCCATCAGACCCCCAGCTGGGATCTCCCCGGATCTGGGGAAGGGGGAGAAGAGGGGAATCCCCATTGGGGTGTTTCTCCAACTCTCCCTGTGCCCAGAGCTTGTTCCCACCGCCCCCCCCCCATGCCCTCTCATCAGTCTGGGCCAGCTGAGGAGGGGGTTGAGGGGAACCACGCTCCTCAGCTCCACTCCCTTCCAGGCACGGTCTCCTCCACGCAGGGGGAAGGAGAGAGGGGGGAAGCCCCCAGTGGGGTGTTTCTCCCTCTCCCCCTGTGCCCAGAGCTGGTCTCCCTAGCCACTACCCCTCAGTCTGGGCCAGCTGAGGCGGGTGTGGGGGGTGGAAAACCCTCCCCTCTGCCAGGGACTGAACCCCCAACTGGGGTCTCCCGGTGTCACGGGAAGGGGGGAACTCCCCCCCAAAACCCGGAGCTGGGTCAATCACTAGCCATGTCCCCTCCTTGGCCAGTGGGCCAACTAAGGAGGAAGGGAGGGAAGGGAATGGTCCCCCTGCCCAGCTCCAGACCCCCCCAGCTGGGCTGTGCCAGGTGTGGGGGGGAGGAGGGGGAGGAAGGGGTGCCCTCAATGGGAGCTGTTTTCTCCTCCACTCCTTCCTCAGCTAGCCGAGCAACGACATGACTGAGTGATAGGCCCAGTTCCTGGCTTGGGCAGGGGAGCAAAGCCCCTACTGCAAAGAGCTGGGCTGATCACCTGGCCACAACCCTGCTTGGCTGACAGACCAGCTGCGGAGGGAGTGGGGGGGG